GCATGTGTATACTTGACTGTGCCTGTGAAAGAGAGTGTGTGTGAGCGTGTGAACTGTCAGCCTCTCTTTTTTTTTTAAACTCTGCCTTTGGTTGTCCTCAGGACTCAGATTGTAAATGTCTTACACTCGTGTGAATATGAGCCGGCTCTCCGTGGGAGGACAAAGGGCCAGATGGGATTTTCACAAAGCTCTCTATTTAGCATGAGTCAAACATGTGTCTCGGATGGAGCAACGCATCACTGAGGGGCAGGACAAGGACGATACAGGCTAAAGCATTTCCGCCTCACTGCCCTGTAGCTCTTTCATTTTTCTCTGTCTCTGCCACTTTTTTTCCCTAAACCTTTCCTCTCCATTGCATCATCACAACATCAGCATAGTAGGAGCAACAGATTACATAATTTGTCTTCGCCTGATAAAACAACGCTTATGAGCATTTTCTTCTGTGCTGCTCCTATAAGCAGGATACGATTTAAGGTTACAAAAGTGATTCATATGATCTTGCTTAAGTTTTGTAAGTCAAGGTAAAAAGATAATCACTATTAGCATGCCAAGAGGTCATGTGTCACCTGAAATACAAGGTTTTATGTATAAAAAAACATGCTGTCATCTGTTAGGTGATGGTTTTATTAAGCGGTGACAGCTGCTCCCCTGCCCACGCTGGCCAAATTACAAATCAATGAATCAAAATAATTTCCCTTTTCCATTTCGGCTGAAGAAGATTTAAATGAATCAGACTGAGAGTGTACAGCAATATTCCTCTTTTTGTGTGGCTGTAATTATAGACACAGTTCAGGCAGACAACTCGCGTCTGAAATGTTTATTGCAGCAGCAGAAATTTTTTGTGTTTGGCCTCTGGGCTCGGACCAAATCACTTATTGCAGATTGGTTTTACTTGCATATATTTGGCGTTACATAAACCCCCTGACTGGAGCCTGCAGGTGGATGCTAGGGTGGTCGCGGGGCTGTACAGGTGATAGTCAGTGGCGTCAATGACACAAAGAGTGAGAGACAGGAAATTTTGCAGCTTATCAGAATGCAAAATGTAGAGGATGCATTTTGCTCTTGTTAAATGACTTTGTTCGATTGTCAAACCAAAGCAGGCCAGCGCGACAATCCCACCCACAAAAACCAAAGGGAGATTATACATTCAGATTCAAACGATCGCTAAAATACTGAGCTCGACTGGAGGCAGCCACCTTTAAAAACTAAAGTAGACCTTTTCACATTTCTTACAAAGTTTGAATGCCTTGCATAGTGTGTTTGTCTGCTTTCCCTTCTTTTGTTCACCGCTTTGTATTGATGTAAGCTGAATAGGTCAGCTGCTGTATTCTGTAATGAGAAGGGAAAATAACCGCAGACTGTTTTTTCTCATTCGCCCACCCAGCATGACAAATTAGAAAATAAGGGGCCTTAATTCCTGTTACAGGCTTGGTTTTGATATAGGGAAAGAAAGCACAGTGGCTGCTGTTATTTGTAAAATTGTGAGACTGTTATTCAACCTATTCTCTAACTCCTAACTTCTCTAAGACTCACCCATAAACTATGTGTCAGTCAGCAAAAGTAAGTCACTCACAAACCCAACCCATCTGGCTGCCCAAACAACAGCCAATTCAAGGATGGCACCCAGGTTACGCCGGCTACACAATGAGTCATTCTTTTTGAAACGTCCTACTAACAGATAGTAAACTGTTGGTAAGGGGTGGCATCATTTAAACTGTATACATTACGTATGTTAGGGGCTCTAATAAGGGAATAGACAATATTTTACAGCCTACCTGATTTTTTTTATATCTTGATTCATCTAAAACAAGTGTAATTGTATCATTCTGACTTAAAAAGTAATGCATTTTTGCATTAACTGAACTGGTAGTGTGTACGTGCTTGTCCATTTATGTGTAGCTAACTATACTGCAAGAACATGTTTAGAGCTTCTGGGCAATGACAGCCATGTTTGCACATGCATGAATAACAATCCTATCTGTCTGGTCTGCATTAACAGTATGTGTTTGCGTCGGACTGATTCCTCCCCCTTATATACAGAAGCTGAGCTGTGTTTCACTTAACTGACTACGTCATTATAGCTGATGTGTGCACAGCCAGTGTAATGGAGAATAATCTAATCATCACTCCTGAAAGAACTGGACACACAAACATCAGTCTACAAAACCTGCAGAGCCACACATGCACATCCATACCCACACATTCCGGAAAATACAGCTGCACAAAAAGACATTGTCAAATTTTAGTGAATGCGCAGACAAACACACACACATCACAGGGAGAGCTGGACTGCTCTCCCAGTTGTTGAATAATGCATTAAGAGGCTTGTTGCCACAAGGAAATGATAAGCCCTACTTCTCATGGTATAGCGGAGGTTTAATTATCCAGTCTCTGTGTAATCACATGGAAACAGCTTCCCACTCGTCTTTTATTAAGCCTTTTATAGCTTTTATAGCTGAGGGGGCGCTCTTGTATGAATTATTGAATATTCTTACAGTGCACATGTACATCTTACAGCATTACTGTAGAAAACTTTTAAACAGGCCGAAGGGAGACTAAACAAATGACCTCCACTCAGCTCTCTGCTCTGTTTCATGTTGAGAGTAGGTTGTTGTGTCACATGCTTTTAGGTCGAACACAGGCGAAATGCCTTAAAATAGATGATTGTCTTTTTTCTTTAGCCTCTCTCTGGTGCTGTACAGATGGGATACACATTTTTTGCACGAGAGCGATGTGTGGAAGTAAATGAAGCTCTGACTGTTGTGCTTACATTCTAAAGCTGTGCAAATTCAGTTAAATTACCAGTCAGTTCTGTTAAGGCTGTGTTGCTGAATTTTGGAGATTAACATTCTTCTTGGAAGTAAATGAGATTTTAGGATTTTTACAACATATCCTATATTTTCAAGAGTCTATATTCTGTTCAGTAGTTGCCCTTATGTACAAGCACTGTTACATCACAAGTAGTGAGGTAACAGCTCCTGTACCACTACTCCATTACATAACCCCTCCCTGTTGGTTATCTACTACAGACTTAAGTGAGGCGAGCCAACGTCATGGACAAGAAAAAACAATTAGCCTCCCTGATGTGACTGATGTTTGACAGCTCGAGATGCAGCACAGAGGATGACACAATCATGTTCTGTCTGGTCTCACTGATGTTAACATAATATCTGACCCAGTGTACATATAGATTTTTTCCATTAAGGTCCATAGAGCTTCATTGCAACATTAGCTGGAGACACTGCTATTAAAAATACAGAACTTTTACGAGATGCTTGTTAATTCACACTGGACCATCTTTAATAAGAGCAGAGTTCCCCACTGAGGGAAATAATGTTTTCTGTGCTTAGCTATTTGCAAAAAGTTTAATCTGTGATGCAGCTTTCACTATCATACAACCAAACCATGTGGAATATTTTACAAAATCACCTGAGATTGAGCTCTTATATCCCTTTTGGACACTTTGGGAATATTCTCTTATCCGACTAATACCAGCCGTAACTGTTTTATTTGATTTTAATTGTTGACTAATTATTATAGCCATTTCAAGCTTTTTAAATTGTTTCTATCTTATTATATATATATATATGATATTGTTCTTAATGCTCTTTTATTTATTTTATTTCCTGTGGTAGCCTTTACTCATTATGTTTGTCATTTACTGTACGTATGTATTCTCTGCATCATTGTAAATGAGGGTCACCCTCAATGATCTCTACGAGAACTTAAATAAAGGTTGATGATGATGTTATTAATCATAGCCTAAGTTACAACATAACATAAGTTATGCTGTGTCAGTGGTGATGAGCCCAATATGATCACTTGGTTCAAATATCCACACAAAAAAAGTAATTTCTTCAATGGCTCTAAAAAGAGATGACAGGTAAAAAGTAAGACCCAAATGTGGGTCTCAAACTAGAACATTAACATCTTCATACAACTGACTTTAAATTCCAAACTGACAAACCAAAACGGTAAATATGAATTTGCTTCACTTCAGCAGCTGAATGTTTGACCTCCCACACTCACACTTAATCCGAGTTCCAAATTAGAAACTACGTCAAAGAGAATATTGAACAATTTAAAACTGTGCCCAAAAAATACCAATTAAATGAACTCCTCTTTCGCCCACCTGACTCTAGGAACTCGCTTTCTCTTTTCTATATCTCTTTACCTGCTGACCAATGAAGGAGCCATCGGCTAGTGAACTAGATACAGATCTCTCAGAGGAAGTTTGGTATGAGGGGCTATCCAAAATACACACATGCTTATTAATGGAAGATATAGACTACTACAACACAAGGTCATAAAGAAATTGCACTTTGGTTAAAATGAGTAAAATGTTTCCTACATTTTTTCCCTCCGTGATAGATGTCAAACAGAATGCATGACTTCTGGTCAAAGATATATGATGCGTTTTCCAAGTTCCTCCAACAGATCATTGAACCTGACGCTCAACTTGCACTCTGAGAATGTTCTAAAAAGGATCCAGGTCAAACATTGGTAGAGTAAATGGCTTTGACAGCCGGATTGATTGCAGATAAGAAAATCATCCTGATTGACTGGAGATCATCCACCCCTACCTGCTTTCAGAAATGGCTCAATGAAATTGTTATTGCACAAATGGTGAGGATATGGTTTTAGAGGTTTGAATCCGACAATAAGTTATTTAAGGAATGGGGTTCGTTGAACTATTTAAAAGAAACCACAACAGTAAAGGCTTTAAGTGTGCACAACGGCATAACTAGTGATGTCTGGCAGAGGTTTTCTTTTATTGTAGGTCCATTGCTAAGCTTTGTCTTTTTTCTCTCGACCCTTTGCTCTCTTATTGTATGCAAACCCACTGTTTAGTTTAGTCTTCACGAGTCTGTACCATCTAAATATAAATATAAAAAAATGTATTTGGTTGAATGTTTGGAGAGGAAACTCATTTTCAAAATGTAGCCCTGATAACACTCTTCCACTGTGCCTCTGTTCGGTTTGTGTCGCTATCTTTATACCTGGATGCCCTCTGTGCCAGGCTGCTGCAGGAGTTTGACGGTGCGAGTGTGTGCTGTGTTCTGGCCGCGGCCATCGTGCCAGGTCAGGTTGCTGCCTCCGGCGCGACGCGGCAGCTGGTAGCTCAGCTCTTCAGCAGACAGCGTGTGCTCCAGGGAGGCACGGCAAAAACTGAAGCTGGACGCCGCTGTTGGGAGGGAAAAGAGAAGAGGAGGAGAGAAAAACAGAAAAAGACAATCATACAGAGATTATAAGCACACAGTTTACGGTCTTTGTTTCAGGGGTTTGAATACACGTTGTCCGTGAACTGAGCAACAGGACACACCGTATAAATAATTGATAATCCTCCAAGAGCTTAAAAAGCTGCATTCACTTCAGATTACATGCTTCCTGTGCCGACTCTCATACAGCTACAGGCAGATGGTGGTTTTGGGGATATAGTGGGCAGCAGTGCTACTCTACTGTGATCTCCAATTATTCTGAGTGCATATTCACAGGGGCAGCGCATGATTTCTGGAACTGTATCTCTCTTGCTAGATTAGTCCTTGATTATTTAAATCCTCCATCATGAATATTTGATTTCTTTTCTTCCCCATCCTCTGTCTATCCATCCTTACTTTTTCCTCCCAGAACTGAGAGTTAGCTGTGTGAGAGAGCCAGACAGACATGTTGTCAAATTAGGGTCAGGGTACGGTTCTCTAAGAGCCATCCAGTGTGAGTAATGTGAATGATAAGAGGAATTGACTGAACAGAGGTACACGTGACTTCATATCCGAGGTGGAAGAGGTACGGTATAACAGAAAGGATCACAGTGACTTTGCAACATTTACAGTTTAAACAACTTTTTTCTGAGCTCCTCCAATCCATAAACAGAGTGAAATCAACAAATTGAATAATGGATTCCAACATTAGTTTGATTTGTCCCCTAAATCTCTGTTTCCACATCGTGCATATAGGAGCAGTTACTGAGTGAGGAACCGAAATACAGCTTAGAGCTAAGGGAAGAACAAGGCCTACAAATTGTTGCATTCATTTCTTTAAAACATTGTTTTTTAAGTCTCTTGACAACAGAAATATGACAGAGAACTTCATTTCATCTCCTACCAGTGAAGTTTTTATTTTCCTCTCTTCTCCTTTGAGGCCAGATTGTTAAAAAATACAGATTACATTTTTTTTTAAATTGTTGTAATGTATTTAAAATATTTTATTCTGCTGTATTTAAGCCGTTAAAATATCTTTCTAATATATGTATCCATTAGTCTATTAATGATTTGTCTTTATGGGGGATTGTTGACACTTCAGTCAAAACCCAAAAGGAGAGAATATAGATTCTGTTTGGCCCTTATAGATCTGCTTGTGGAAAAAACTGGTTGCTGTTGAGTTGAGCGGGGGGAAAAAACACTTTTTCTCCACAGAGGAGTTTGCTCAAGTGAGTAACGCTGAATGCTGAGTTCACACTGGCATGATGGAGGATTGAAAAACAGGGTGGGGATGAAAAACAAGAGAGGCCTGTCAGAGATCACTGATGTGTAACCTTTTTCCGACGCTCTTAAACAGCTTTCCCTCTCTGCACGCCTCTTTTCCTTTTTCTATATGTTGCCAGTTTTGTATCTTGTGATGCAGTGTGTTTTCTCGATCTCGCATCTCTCTGCATGTCTCTTTCTGGTTGGCAGGTCTTTGGGGTCGTCAGGACAAACCCAGCCCAGCCCTGATGTAATTACTGCCAGTCAGACAGAAGGGGGAGGAGAAGGGTGGAAGGAACACGGGAAGCTAAGCGCCTTGCGACCCTAAAGACCTGCCAATCTCGCAGCAAGAGACAGGAGAAAACGCAACGGCAAGAGCAACACAGACAAGAGAGAGGGAGCAGGGCTGTAAATTAGCCCGGGATCCACTCTCGCTCACAGTCAACTGATCTGGCTGTGGTAAGGTAGGGGAGTTTAGAGGAGGAGGCGGGGTGACACGTTAATCGAGCACGAAACAGCTTCATTTCACAAGCTGTTAAGGACAGAGCTTTCCAATTATGAGTCAGACACCTCCCTACACTTTATCGACATCACTTTTAAGATGGAGATATGCAAGATCACAACTTCTCGGTTCCACAGAAATACTCATTCTCTGCCACAAGGCCAGACCTTGATGCATCCAGAAGTCATAAAACGAAGACAAAGAGCTCATTCTGCAGGCATAAATGGACTCAGTTGGCTTAGCATCCTGGCAAAGGATAAGGCTGGGACTCTAGAAGCCGTAAAAGCCATTAAATATCCATAGAATCCATTTGACGTCTCTATAACAATGACATTGAAACGTACGCATTCCTTGGTCAATTTCAGCAACCGCTTTGAGAAACAGCACTATATTGGTGAAATGAATGAAATGAGGGGATTCAGCAAAGAATCTGTGTTAAAGCGCAATGTCTTTAAATGAAGTTTTGCCTTTAAGGGTGATTTTAATCTTGACATTCAGCAGCAGGGGTTATCTGTTACCTGTCCTTGTCTTTCTTAACATGCATTCGATCAGCCTGGACACTCGCCAAATCTCCCCTGTGCTATTTGTCGCTAACTGGTGTTGAATTAACTCTCGCTGCCCTTGCTTGAGACTTTTATCACCTTCAGTCGAGGGACAGGAGAGTAGCGAGAGGGAGAAAGGGGTGAAAAGCACAAAGCGTGATACATGCCTCTGAGTTACAGTCAGCGAATGAAAAAGAAATGAGGAGATATGATGTAGTGCAAATTTAAAAAGCTCAGGGATCTGTGACTTCCTGCTCATATTTTAAGAGGAGAAACGAGGAGGGAACGTGAGAGAACTGTTGGTGTTAGAGGTGCCAAACTCAAGGGCAAAGTGTCAAGCAGGTGTTTGTGTGTGTGTTTTTGTGTTTGTGCAGGGGTAGGTAGGTCAAAACGACTCAGCTCAGTGGAGTGTAGCCTCATATCACCTCCTCTTCACTGAGCACCTTATCTGCGCAGGGTGGCTGCTAAATCTCAGTGGCATTCCCTTTTGAAAAGGTAATTAAGCCGTTAGGTACGGCACCACGGAAGGTCGTTCCAAGCCAAATCCCACAGTAGATTAACATGGCATCACTGGACATTACTCATCTGACTCCAAATGAGAAATCTAAGTTAGCCCGTGTGGACTATTTTGCTGTGTCGGCTTTTAGTATAAGTTTGATTTTTTGCTTAACCTTGGCATCAACTTCAGGGTGTCTTTTTGCCTCATCCTCTTGCATGGAGGATGAGGCAAGTGGTCTGGCTAATCCACTTTAGTTCAGGCGTCACAGAGAGGGTGCCATGGTGTATTTCAGCAGCGTGATATTGGCATCAGCTCCCTCCCTCCCTGCCGAGCACCTCTTACTCAACTCAAAAGATAAATTTCTATTTACAGTCCAAGTTTTATTTGAAAGAGAAGAGAGGTAGAGAAAAATCTCAGTCATCCTCCTTCCTCAGTAATCTGCTACGGGGTGAAACTTCATCATGCAGTGATTTCATGCCTGTGTAACACTTTCAACCTGAAGTCCTAAATATAGCATCAAACAGGCAAATGCTGCCAACTCGCTCTATGTCTAGTACATCTAGCAATGATCCAGATTTGTTGGTTTTATAGTAAAGTTAGAGGAGGAAAGCAGGACGCTATGTATAACTCTTCCACTCCATCAGACCTGGTCATAACTCCAGGAATGAGGCATGAAATTACTCTACTTGGAGCGAGGAGGGGGTGAAGAAGATTTGTGGTTGAAGGTTTAAAATGAATATATATATGTATAAAAAAAGAAACGGGGGGCTTTTCCCATGATGCATTGCCATCTATTTCCCACTTTGACATGAGACACCATCGCAGACGACAGGGGAACTCAAGAATAAGAAATTTACATGGTATTAACAAGTTAACAACACAGACTAATTGGGAGATAACAACAAAGCATTCCCAAAGCTGAATATTGGTTCTACTCTCCATCTGATGGTTCACAAAGTTTTATCAAAGTTAGCTCCACATTGGGTAAACAAAGTAAGCACACTGGAAAGAGCTAAATAAAACAACATGTAAAATGCTACTATTCACTTTCCGCTATAAATGTTTAAAGATGTTCACTCTCCACTTTGATATTGTGTTTTGTAGACTGTAAGAGCATATATTAATTTAACATACTGTTTAAATAAATGTGTTTACCAATCGTTTTATACAAAGACAAGCCTAAATTAGCGTTTGTAGGTAGGCTAAGTTGCTATCTAGCCTACTTAATGTTGACAACAAAATAAAAGTCCACTTTTAAACCAGATAAACATTAAGATTTTCATCTCATTTATGCACACTACGACCTATATATTTAAAACTAATACACACCTGTTAACAGCAGCTGTCAAATCAGCCCATGTGTAACTACATGGGCTGATTTGATGCTAAGTACTTACTTACTTAATTACGACCTATTCTTAATATTTACAGTCTGTGACGCTAATGCAGCATCTTTGCTAGCTCAGGCTCACACACACTCCTGCTTAAACTTATCAAAACTACACAACAAGGTTATAGAGTAACTTCAAGTCAGTTAGAAAAAGGAATGAAACTAACAGGAGATAATTACACAGTCTTAAGAAATTATTTTTCCAAATTAAATGACATTTTAACCGATTATTCAGTCATTTACAACAAGAACAATATGCGTATTGTCAGCACGCTTACTTGAGTGTGACTTAAAATGCAGAAAGAAAATATCTGCACATCTTTGTAATCCCTGTCTTCTTTGGTTTAGTCCAGTGGGTTGGAATAAAGCTGCACAGAGTTTATGCACGCAGCCTTGTGTATGGGCGCTGAATTCAGGATTTAAACTGCTGGGCAATTATGGCTCATGTGCACCTACTATATAGCCCAAAAAACAGGTGTTTTTTAATTCTGTAAGTCATTAAAGAAGTCCCTCCGCACCCTGGAAGATGTCCTTGGCTTTACCTTTTTTGCCTTGCTGTAACAAAAACAAATGGAAGGTCGTGCATTGAGGGCAGGGTGACTTTTACTCTCTAACTCTGCAGATAGACAGCTCTATTGATTATCCATCACTGTGTCAGAGAACATACAATTACAGATCACTTCAGATAAATCCCTCACACACACAGGAACAGGCATGCACACAAACACAGTGAGCCTTATTCCTTCACCCAAGGCCGCTGGCTGTCATATCAACTCTTGCTCAAAGGATCT